CACACTCCACCTCCAGAATCACCGAGTACTAGAATAGCATGATCAAATTCCTTGTCATCGTACCTGCAGTACATGTACATGCAATGAAGAACTTGACTATGATTACAATTATAAGGCATGTTCTTTTACCAGTAATCCATTGTTACAACACAGTGTGGCATTCTCGTGATGTGGAATATTCTTTCAAATGTTGGTGTTGTTAAATCATAGACAGCTTTAAATATAAATTTTAATTACATTAAAATATTTGCATAGTACAATCATGACCTTACCTAGTACACTGTCGGTGAATGAGAGAAGCACTTTGTGCATGTTTGGCATTACAACCATGTCAGTGACCCACAGTGGTCTAGCTTTTGTTGTTTTTTCTAATTTTGTGAGCTATCATGTAACCAGGCAAATGTATAGAAGGATATTTTTATGAACATGTACATGTATATTTCTACTCACATTAACTGTTCTGTAGAGCTTAAGATTCTTAACGTTTTTCTTCCAAAAGCAAACAATTCCATCTTTGCTGATGCTAATGATGCTTCCATCATTGTCTCCTGAGCCTTCTGTCTTTGTTTCAAAATTACGTGAGATACTTGGTAGCATTGTAATCCTATACACACAGTGCCTGTGAGGGCTTTTGAAGCAGAAATAAATCAATCAATCTTGTTGTAGCTGCTTTATGCACCTTGTATACTTCTTTATAGGAAAAGGAAATGGTGGTTTCTTCTCAAAAATCATTGTGTCTTGCTCCTGATACTTTAACAGCATAAAGGTACAAAATTCATCCTAAATAGATAATAAACAATTAATGATAGCACTCGTGTGCATAGCAGGTTGAGTATACCCAATCTATACTTCCATCGCAATCACTGTCAATCTTCATATGCAGGACAGCCATCTATGAAAAATCATCATTGTGACTAAATGATCAATGCTGGGTTTACTTCATGGTCACTGAGTTTCTTTCCTTTGAGGATCTTACCAATCGACTTTTTAAATTCATCAATTTCCAGTCCCCGGGTACCATTTTCATCAGCAAGCTAGTATAAATTTATAACTCATGAGTAACATACTGCACTACTAAATATTGCAACTTACAATAAACATTCTCATTAGTTGCTGTAAGTCTTCCATGCATATTCTTTCTTCAAGCCTTGTAGATCCCAGAGTCTTTTGCGAGAGTACCATTGGAACTGGGAGTCGAGCTGGCCCAGGTGGACTTAGTTTGTAAAGACTAGGATTGGATCCAAAATCATTTTTATCCATTACTTGTGAGGAACGAGGCGTCTTTGAGGCAACATCTGTTGCTGATGCTGCAGCATTATTTTTCCCTGCTGTCAAGCTCTCCATTTTCGTTGCCGTGATGCGATAAAAGGTGGGGCTATAACGGCGCTGAACATTATTGCGCATGCGCAAAAATTATGCGTAGGAGTAAGACAGCACACGTGAATGCACGTGGGGTTAGGTTTTAATAACTAGCCCTGCCTTTCCACCACTCCCAAATGCAAGATATTGTCTTATCTAAGTTGTCTTTCCAGAAGTTAAAAGGCAGTGAGTAAGGCAGTAAGCAGCAGCCAAAAACAAAATGGAAAGGGAAAAGATTGTAACTAGAGAACCAAGTGACTTATTTGACTGGAATCTCGCCAGCAGGAAGAAAGATGTAAGGAGAAAGAGTTCCTTCACTAGCCAATGCGTGTAAGTTGTAACATAGATATCTATGGTTGTAACTTGTAAAATGGTAAATAAATAAAGCTGTTAGTAAAAATTTTTATAGTTAAAAGTTACTTGTAATCACTGTATGTATGTATGTATGCATGTATGTATTCTTAAGTCAGTGAGGAAGAGGTAAAATAGATGGAGGAACAAGTCTGTATAGAGATAGTCTCTTGCCCGAGGCCACTCTAGAGAGAAAGGGTAGCTGTATGTGCTCTATCATTCCATTGTGTTTATACGCATTCTTTGACAAGTACGTGTAATAAGAGAATTGGTGAGAAATAAATATACAGAACCACTGACTCATTCAGTAAACAGCTTTGATGTTTTAGCCATAGTTATCATAACTGCACTGATAATAATAATAATAATGATTTAATAATAACAATTATAATAATATAATCTTGTATTTACCAGTATGACGGGTATTGTATATGACGAGCGAATGAAGAATCACAGGAACGACAATAATCCAAATCATCCTGAGTGCCCCGAGAGGATTAGCTCCATATGGGAACAGTTGGTTGATGACGGTGTGGTTGAGTGCTGTAGGAGAATAGATGCTAGATCTGCCACCGAGCAAGAGATATTATATGTTCACAGGTAATCCAATAATTATTTACTATTATTTATGTACTATTATACTTTGTCTTTATTTAGTAAAACTCATTACGATGAAATGGTAGCAACTGAGAACATGTCTTTGGAGAAATTATTTCAACGAGCTCTTCGTCTCAATTCTATTTATATAAATCCAGTGAGTGCATACTGTTGCTGTGTATTTTGATGATGTTCCTCTGTAATAGTCTTCAATGCAGTGTGCTCTTCTTGCTGCTGGCTCTGTATGTGAAGTTACAAAGCTAGTGATTGATGAAACTGTAAGGAATAATTTTTATAATAAACTATAATCATGATTACATTATCGTTCTCCCTCAGGTTGATAATGGGGTTGCTATAGTGAGGTTAGTTTACGATCATTGGTCAGTTTAAATGTTTGAATTAACAGGCCGCCTGGTCATCATGCAGAGTCCTACACGTCAATGGGTTTCTGTTTCTTCAATAATGTAGCCATCGCTGCCAAAATGGCTATTGAAGAGTATGGAGTCAAGAGGTCAGTAGTGCCCTTCCTACCAGCAATAAGTATAGGACCAATTTCTAGGATTCTCATTATTGACTGGGATGTTCATCATGGCAATGCAACACAGCACATGTTCTATGATGACAACAGGTTTTGAAATCTCTCCTCTCTTCTCTCCCTCTCACTGTATCCCTTTCTCTCACAGGGTCTTGTATGTTAGTCTTCATCGTCACGATAACGGTGGGTTCTACCCTGGTGGTGACGAAGGTGACTATGATAAAGTTGGCAAAGGCAAAGGCTCCGGCTATAATGTCAACATACCTTGGAATCTGGTGAGACTAAGACTTTTATAATAGACATACATGTATTAATATTGAGAACTGTATGTTTTCTTCCAGGCTAGGATGGGTGATGCCGAATACATGAGTGCCTTCTATCAGATCATAATGCCAATTGCATTTGAGTACCAGCCAGAGCTTGTAATAGTTTCGTCAGGTTTTGATTCTGGTGAAGGAGACCCAATAGTATGTACACGCATAGACAATAATAATAATGTTAAAGAGAGGGTGTGTAACTGTGTATGGGATATGAGAGAAAGAGAAGTTTTTTGTAACTGATCCGTATAATGTGACATTAATGATAATAGGGAGGTTATAGGGTTACTCCTAATGGGTATGCTCACATGACGCATCAATTGAAATCTCTCGCAGACGGAAAGATTGTTGTAGCTCTTGAAGTAAGTCTAGCGTTCTTATATTTGTTACTTATTTCTTGGAGGGTGGGTATAATCTCACCACTATATCGCACTCAATGTCTGCTGTTGTGCAAGTTCTTTTGGGCGACACACCACGTTCACTTGAGTCCTGTGTTCCTAATGATAGGTGAGAGAGAGAGAGGAAAGAGTGTGTGTGTTTAATTGATGTACATACACATATACCCATATTTTAGTGCTCTTGCTTCTATTGGTAATGCTGCAAAGTGTTTATCAAAATACTGGAAATCACTCAGACACTGGCAAGGTATACCCTAGATGACCTCCTAGTTAAAATACTTATAATTTTATAAATAGACCAGCCAGTAAAAGGGACAGTGGAAGAGTTTGCTCCATTAACCAGTAGCAGTGTAGTAGATCCAGCACCACTGACTGATGATAGTATGAGCAACAGTCAAGCAGATGAAATGAGAGGAGATGATTCCATTATAATTGAGAATGGTGAGACCCCCAAGTCTAAACCCATGCCGGACGAAAGCCTAAAAAGAAGCGATGAAGAAGTATTTAAAAATTTTACTTTGATTGAGGCGAGTCCTATTTTTAGATACTCTCGGAGCCTCCACCTCCTGGCACTATCCCCATATCCTCTGACTCCATACCATTGGATGTAGCACAGAAAGCATTAATACAACAACTGGAGGATGAAGGAAATGTAAGTGCATGTATATGTACATGTATGTTATGTTGTTAATGTACATGTACTGTAGGCCTGTATGTTTGCTGTTAATCCATTGTCCTGGTGTCCTCACTTGGAGTCCATAGTACCAATAGAAGGGTCGCTGGACACGTCTGCATTATGTGAGACGTGTAGTACACCACGTGAGAACTGGGTCTGTCTCACCTGTCAGCATGTGCATTGTGGACGATACATTAATAAGCATATGCTCGAGCACAGTGAAGCTTCTGGACACAATATTGTATTGTCGTATGCTGATCTTTCTGTTTGGTGTTTCACTTGTGATTCTTACGTTTATAATCCTGTGAGTTGGTTTATACTTGACATTATTATAACCTTGTCATTCTCCTCTTTCTTTCAGGTTCTCTTCCCATTTATCAAATTGGCAAGTGATGACAAATTTAAGTAGACAACAATAGTAGTTCTTATAAAACTTATAGAATTTATAAAATTTTGTGTGTGTGTGTTTTATACTTTACAACCAAAAAATCAGTTAAAATACAATAAATACAAAACCATCTTTACTCTATTATTTCAATTACTTTCTCTTCAGCAAGTGTCTTCTTAGGCACTGTCCCAGGTGCACTGTGTTGCACCATATTCTGTCTCCTCCTCCTCCTAGCCTGCAGTATCTCCCTCCTTTCCTTAGCAGATGCTTTTATAGTCCTGGGGACGTTACGATGACGAGCGATCCTGTGTATCTGAGGATGACTTTGATACTTTTCTTTTAACTTCTCCAAATAATCAAGTGACTTTTGTTCCCGATTCGTCAACTTGCCCAGTTTCTGTGAAGCCCTTGCCTTCCATATCCTGATGTTCATGTCATCGCTGCCCGAGAGGACGTAGGTGGAGTCATTTGTCCAGCGTACACTGAATATCCTCTGCATTCTCTTGGTGTGGTACACCTCACGACTGTGTTTCCAGTCCTCACGGAATATACGAACGGTTTTATCAAATCCACCGGACACGAATTCCTGCCCTGTGGGAGAATAGTCCACATCAAGCACAGCGTTAACATGATCCATGTGAATGCACTTTGGTCTCTTCAGCCAACGCATGTCAAAAGTGTAGAGATTCCCGTCTTCGTTAGCTGCCGTAAAGTGAAACGCTTCCATTGGGTTCCAAGCCACTGCATTTGATTTAAGACTTAGCACCACTTTCTGTAGCGGAGAGGATTGGCGTATGTCATACAGTGCAATGGATCTATCTGCTGCACAAGACGAGAGGAGATTAGTCTGTATTGGGTTAAATTTAACATGGGTGATGTTGTCTGGACCCCACGTGAAAGACGACAAGGGTTCCGAGTGAGTCTCATTCCAAATCTCAACCTTGTCACCACACGTGGCAAATATTGGATCAGACTGATGATGATCAACACTTGTGAAGGCCGTACTTCCTAATATGGTCGAAAGAGGTTGATGGGGACTAGGAAAGAGCGAGTGGTCAGGGTACTCCCAGAGTTTGATGATGCTATCGTCACCGACTGAAACAAACCGAGACCCATCATTGTTCATTGCCAGGCCTCTAACAAACCCAGAGTGAGCACTGATCGTAGTCAGGGTCCGTCTTGATGCAATGTTCCATACTTTGATCTCACCGTCATGAGATCCAGAGAGAAGGACTGATAGTTTCTTGGGATGCTTTGACATGCAGTGAATACCGTCAGTATGACCTGAGAGGCTACCTATAAATGGCTTGGCAAAAACTTTGTCGAGTTTTGTGGCGTTGAGGGCTCTCACGTACTCCCTGGCCGCTTCGTGTGGGTGCATGGAAGGGTTGAGGTTTCTGGGCAGCTTGTGTATGTCGCGAGAGCTCTCCCTGACATAATCCTTTGGGTTTCTACAAAGAACCTTGATCTTCATTTTGTCCTTATGACAGCACGTGGGTTGATTTTATTGCGCATGTGCACACCAGTTAATAAAAAGTAATTAAGTTGTGAATAATTAACCCTCTTTCCCTCTCTTTCTCTCTCCTTTCAACTGCAAGCATGGGTAAGCTATGCCATTATTGTATCTTATTAGATCCATCTTTTAGCTTATAATAATGTATCCATAGTCTTTGTAAATATCAGAACACTGTACATATATTAAGATTAATTATTATCTTTACTTTCACAACATTAGGTAAGCCCAGGGGACTTCGTACTGCTAGAAAGCTTCGAGTTCATCGTAGGAATCAAAGGTGGGCTGACAAGCAATACAAGAAAGCGCATCTTGGGACTGCATTAAAGGCCAATCCTTTTGGAGGTGCATCACATGCCAAAGGAATTGTATTGGAAAAAGTGTAAGGGTGTGGCCAATGTTCATGTTAATAATGCCTTCATTTTTAGTGGTGTAGAAGCCAAGCAGCCAAACTCTGCCATTAGGAAGTGCGTGAGGGTACAATTGATAAAGAACGGGAAGAAGATTACGGCTTTTGTTCCTAATGACGGTTGCCTGAATTTCATAGAAGAAAACGACGAAGTGTTGGTTGCTGGATTTGGGCGTAAAGGTCATGCCGTAGGAGATATTCCAGGTTAGGAAAGAAAAGTGGGAGGAGTGGATTAAGAAATACAAGAAGCTTTATTTTCGTATCTTAATGTGTCAATGTGTTTAGTACTATGATAATTGCTATACTATGTTCCAACTGAGTTTCACCGGAAGGAAGTAGAATCAGCTGTATATGCATGGCATTTGAAAATTTTATCTACGTCACAAAGAAGAATTATCAGTTTAAGAAGAATTATCAGCTTCGTGTGAGCATGCGACCACGTGTTCTTATGTAAACTGGGATTTATCAGTCTAATTGAGGTCTGCCTTTTTATGTTATGGAGCTTACAGGGAGAACCTGGTTCTCAGGGTTCTTAAGGACTGAGAGACTCAGGACCTGAGACTCTGAAGGGACATTTGGCAATAAAAAACCTTTAAATTTAAAAAACCTGTGAAAGTTGTCCATACCTAAAAAAGTTATTTCATTTTTTCTTGGGTCAGACTTAGTTGTGACATAGTATACATATTTTCTAATTGACAGATAGACTTATGCTTTGCACGCAGTCCTCTTAGTTCTATGCTTTTGAGATTTGACATAATTAACAATGCTCTTTGTGTATAGGTGTCAGATTTAAAGTGGTGAAAGTAGCCAATGTCTCCCTACTGGCTTTGTACAGTGGCAAGAAAGAGAGGCCAAGATCATAAAATGAACAAATAATTATTACAATCTCTCTTGTTTGTGACATTTTATTTAAAATAGAGAACTCAGTTAATTGAAAGAAAGTATATTATACATGCTTAGTTATATTATTGTTACAGATCTTCAAGGGATGTGAAATTGCGTCCAGCACCAAACAACACCAGATTCATATATTCAGCAAATCCTTTACCTGTCTGTCCTTGACTTCCAACGCATATCTCCACTGGTTTCAGTTCAGGCTTTATTTTATACAGGAGTTTATTGCACATCTCCATTGCAGCTTGTTGTAGAAGTGCCGCTTGATCTGTATCAATAACGATCCATTGGAGGATTGATGCATTTGGAGATACTTCATTGCAGAGCTCAAAGCACGCTTGATCATTTTCTAACCTTATTTTCCATCGTTTGATGAGTTTCCATTCCCACTTCAGTGACTTACCTTTACATTGTATCTCAAATGAGTCCTCGTTGCAAGTACATGTGACATTAGAGCCTGGTTCTATTTGCTGGCCCCTGTGCTTTATGTCCGTTTTCAGTGTACAGTTGGGGATTCGTGTTGATGTGTAGCCATACACTTTGGCTGCTGCTTCCAAGTACTGTCTCTCAGTAGGAAAGCTTGGATCTAAGAACTCCTCCAATTGCAATTTCTCTTCATCTGTTGGATGCAGTTTCTCAGGATCATTGAGAATTTCAGAGTATAGCAAATGGGTTGCTGTGTCATCAGTACGAGCAATTTTAAGATCTTTACTGATATCTAGTCCAGTCCTTTGCAGGCATAGTGGTTCCTGTAGTGGTACTTTGTCTCCTTTCTCTAGCCTCATTTTGGGTCTGCCCAGCTCTCCTGTGTACAGTGCAAAAACCTTCATGCTTAAATCTTTCAGTTTTATCTCCTTCTGTAATGCTTTCAAAACATCTTCAGTCTCCACTGAGACTGAAGGAGGAAACTGTACTGTACATTTCCCGTACCGTCCAAAAGTGTCAACGCTTATTGACTTAGGCTGCTTGTTTTTCTTCATATTCCTTCTTCTCCAAAAAATACTCAGCCCCACCTACAGTAACTACAAGGTGTTAATAACTAATTCCAGCCACGCCCAGCATTCTTAAACCTGCACGTGGGTGGCCTTTCTGCGCATGCGCAAGTTTTACTGGATACCGTAAACACTCAATCTGCTGTGTAATATTGAAGATGGGATGTTATGCACAAAACTTTTAATGAGGGTGGAGTCTCAGTCTGGTGAGTGAATATTTTTCTCTCTTCCTCTACTCTATTCCTCTTCAGCTGTGTGTATGCTCTATATCTTCATCTCTCAGGCGTGCCCTCAGTGGAAGTGTCTGGAATAGTCACAGTTTTGGCCTCTTCACTTGCATTATTTCATTCTCGGACCTGCAAAGGCCCGGTAATCCTCGTTTATGTGTCTTGTTGGCTGTTGAATGGGGAGAGGGTTGTGCAAGCAACACTAGAGTCTGCTTTGTTGCATTCCTTATTCTCACCTTTTCATATTGTCCCTTCTCATTTCTCTCTCTCTCTCTTCCTCAGCCTTTACTGTACATGTACATTCTATTTTGTGGTGGCCCTCACTAAAATTAATTATGCTATTGTGTTCCTGGGTTTTCTTTGTATTGTTTATTATTATTATTATATTTATCATCATCTTTATTATTATTATTATTTATTGATAATACCCTAGGTGCCATACACATGTTTAAATAATTAATTGGCAATTAAAGTAATAATTTTCATAACGTCTAAAGCATCTAGATGTATTAAAAACTTGTACTTTAAAAAAATGACATACGTTGTTCTTGTGTCATTTACCGTGAGCTGTAAGTCCCTCATTGATTTGCTAAAGCTACATGTGCCTCTCTTCCCTTATCATCATTATTTATCAGTTACAATGTATAGTAGTAACAGGTTTTGTATTGAGTAATCAGTACTACAGTTGGCTTTTTGTTTATGTGCATATTTTATTTCTTTCCTCTACAAGGTCTGCCATAGCTAACGAATTGTCATCTCCTTTGGAATGCCTTGGGAAAACTTTCAGGGATTGGCTGCAGGTAAGACTGAGAGAGTGAGAGAGAGGGAGGGAAGAAGTGTTACTGTACCCCCCTTTCTCTCTCTCTTTCTCCCTAATCTACTCCTCTCTCTGTGTATTTTTGTATTCATTGAGTGCATTATGTGTTGTCCCTAGTAATCTTGACATGTTTACATATCATCCCCTCTTGTGTCTTCCTTTAATAGTCTTTATGGATGTGTGCGTGTGTGTGTGTGAGGCGTAGTTTGTTTCTCTATTTTGTAGTTGCTAGTTTTGTTCCGTCGTATAGGCAACATTATTTATGTTTGCTATTTTAGTTTTGATGTGTGTGTGTGTGTGTGTGTAGGTGGAATGTAACCTTCCGCACTAAGTGTATGCAATACAATGCATATATACATTGGGCTACTTCATTATCAGGGAGCCTTAATAACTTCTTTGGTTGGTCTCCATTAAAAATGATCCAGATTATATGTGTGCAGTTTTCAGTCATGTACATGTACATGTACATGCTATATGGGCTCATTAGCATGAAATTTGAGGCATTTCTGATAAGAATTAGAGGAATGGCAGTCTTGTACATGTACATTGAAGTCGTGATTTGTAAGAAGCAGAGCCTAATTGGCATTCACTCACATGTGTTGTTTGTGTGCATAGTCTATGAGAGTGTTTTTGTGTGTTATTTCTCTCTATTTTTCCCTACATATGTGTCCATGTGTTCCTATTGTATTTTATTTTTAGCCATATGGAATTATGATGGTGATACATCTTATCATCTTTCACTTTGCGTTGGGGATCTTGTTGTTATTATTGAGAAACTGGAAGGTTTGTTTACTTTTATCTCTTCTTTCTTATTCTTTCTCCTTTATTGTTTTTTTATTGCTCCTTTTCTCTTCTCTCTCTCTCCCCCCTCTCTCTTTCCCCCTCTCTCTCCCTTTTTTCTTATTAGGTTGGTATAGAGGTTATCTCTATCACTATCCTTCAAAAAAGGTACACGCGTATGTCACTTTCTGTATAATATCAACAACACTTAATGCATCCACTAGCTCTGATGTACACATGTATTAATGTGTTTATGTTTCTAGGTGTGTGCCTTGTCTTATAATTAATTACTTTTAATTATTTTTAGGGTATATTTCCAGCTAGTTATGTCCAATCAGTAGACTACAACATCATCTCAGCCAAGTATTGAGAGCCATTACTCCTTACAATCATTAGTTCATTTTGTCTGTAGGGAAGAGGAGTACACTGTACCATTCATTGACCCTGTGGCTCTTGAAGCCAAAGAGAGCCTTTTGACTTGGAAAGAGAAGCTCTTTGAGAGTTACACTGTAAGGGAGAGAGAGAGAGAGAGGGGGAGAGACAGGGTGGAGAGAAAGGGGAGAGAGAAAGAGGGAGGGAGGGAATGAAAAGGGAGGGAGGGAATGAAAAGGGAGGTAGCTGTAGTGAGTGAAAGATATGTGGCAGTAGTGGTTGTGTTTGTACAGGATTGTAATTCAATGCAATGTGTTTTGTGTGTGTAGAAAGGAAGGAATTTGTCATAATCATCAGTCAATTATGAATGTCATTGTGAGCCTGTTCATGATAAATGCACGTGTGGCACCATCATGAATACATATCCATTCATAATGGATGTGTACAATCATGAATGACTGTATGTATTCATATTATTGTACACGTGTGTGTACATTTCATAATGTACATGTACTTGAGTGTACATTGCTAGCTTATGATTGATATCAATGTGTTTATGTAATGTATACATATATACATACATGTACATGTACTATATTGTTATTATTATTTTATTATTGTTGCTATAATATATTCATTTTAGAAGTCCCGTCATGACTACGTTCGTATACTAAATTATATGGAAGATGTTCTAACAACAAGATCAACTTTAATACACAGCATACACAGCAATGTGACACACGTATGTGATCTCTCCTCCCTCCCTCTCTCTCTCTCTCTCTCTCTCTCTCTCTCTTGACTAATTTCTCTTAAACACACACTCGTAACAGGATAAGTTACAAGCTATAAGAACACGTCTCTCAGCAAAGATTGATTTGGTTAATAATTTATGTGAACAGCCGTTGTCTCCACGTGATGACACAGGGCACTCTATTGATCCAACCGTCACTAGTTTTGGGAGCCTGTACAGCACTGTGAGTCCAAATTCATAACACAGGGGGTCCTGTTTACTAATTAGGGGTCCTGTGTTGTTTAGGTTTAGGATTTGTGCTTATTTATAGTCCCTGGTTTACTTATTAATGTTTGTTTATGGAACCTAGTTTACTACTTTTGATCTCTTTTAATTTATTATCAGTATCAATTAGTATACTTTGATTAAGCCTTTTTGTTATAAGTAGGAAATATAATGTGCTTTTATGTCTAATTGCAATCCTCCATGCAGTCTTGTATTATTTACTATTATGTTATAATGTTGCATGGCTTTGTGGCTACTATTCACTTATTACTTACTGTATTACTGTTCACGCACACATACGCATGTTCAGCTACCTGTTGTGTATCAGCTACAACGCTTTCTTTGAAAGTGCATTAGATTAGAATGCATGGGTCTGCAATTTGTTATTGTCGTTTTTTCATTTTATTGGTCATGTGTTGTTTGTGTTGCTCGATTAATAAACTTATGTGGGATAATTGTTTAGTTTATGTGCGTGTAATGAATGACTAGCTGTTTGCTTTATAAGGAGGAGGGATATATGTATAATATATATATATATATATATATATATATATATATATAGAGGGGAAGGGAGGTAAGGGATTATTGTCTAATTATAATTCCATGCCTAACTCTAATTCCTACTCACTCATTAAATTTCTTGTATCTAGCCAGAGAGAGGAAGAGTGGAGAGGATAATAGTCTGTGTGTCATTGGGGAACATGTGTCAATATTGATAGTTGATAAGATATACATTGTACCTGTAATCACTGATATCAATACTCTAGTGTAGATGCTATCATACTTGCATGGATAATATGAATGCCATTGAATGGGCAAGCTGACCTTTGTAGTTCATACACATAAATGTACAGTGGATTGTGGATCTCATGTTGTGTATACTATTGCTCATTTTTGTCTTTTTCAGTTCCTATTTGTAACAATGCACTAGTTATTTATTATTATTATTATTATTGTTGTTGTTATTTTGTGTAGCATTGTCAGCGACAGAGCGAGATCGATCGTAAGGTCCCACACACTGGCTGGGATCCTAAAAAATCTAAAGACACCGGAGCTTTAATGGTACAGTATCTTCCTCCTCCTCTCCCTCTCTCTTTCTTTCGAATTTATTATTTTATTTTATTTTTTTTTATTTATTTTAAATTTTTGTTAGGATCATCATTTGTATCTTGTTGTTCGTAATATTGATCATCAGTTTCCAGAAAACTCAGAACTATTCATGTTCCTGTACGACAGTGTATCCAGGAAACAAGTCAGGTACATGTAAATGAGCTTCTCGTAAATATCTTCATTCTGTCATTCTCTCTCTCTCTTTTTAGTGAAAGATTTCTAATTAATGTCCCAAAGGATCGTCCCACTAACGTCATGAAGAGCCATTATTGCATTTTTAAGGTTTCATCTTTAATTATTTAATTATCCCCTGTTAATGAGGTTTTATTTTCAATTTAAAAGGACTTAGGTGCCAAAGAAATGCAGTCTGGAATCTTCCTAGTCTGTCAAGTCATCAGGAAAGGTACAAGTACTCTAACTTGTCTAGACTTATATACATTATCTACCTACTCCTTCTCCCTATCTCTTGATCAGGCAAGATGTTACTGGATGATAGAAAGAATGTGTCACATGCTACATTTAGAAGACCTTATGCTGTAGGAGGTGCGTATTCCTTATTGAAAGTATATGATCCCTCACTTTCCCCATTCTTTCTCTTTAGTACTTGATTTACGTACAGCCCTTGAGGAGACTAACAAGGAGCAGCCTGATGATGATGATGACTATCAAATGACCTATACCATGTCACTACAAATATGGTAAATATAAAGAGCCACAGTTCCTACTAGTCCTAATTGATATATCCTTGACTATGAACTTCCTTATTATTAATTTTAAATTTAGTCTGACACATGAGCAAGACTTTCCAACCCTCCACACATCAATGATCAAGAAGTTGGTCGGCTCGAAGCCATCTAGCACCAAACAGAGCGGCATATTAATATCAATGCAGCTGAGGTTCATTAGAGGAGACTTCCAACAACTGAAAAATGACTTTCCTTACTTGATCAACAAGAACACGGTCCAAGTGGATAAACTAGGATTCCCTGATGTTATACTGCCGGGTAAGCGCAAGGACTTTTGTTGTACCTTTTTATTTTATTTATTACTTGTTTGTTTGTTTGTTTTATTGTAGGGAAGGATCGTAACGATATATATTTTACGTTGGAGTACGGACAGTATGAGAAAGGGAGCAAGAGAGCCGAGAGGAACGTTGAGGTAGCCATTGCTGTCTGTGGCAGAGATGGAAGGATAATACCGGTTAGTATTTATAAATTAAAAATATTATTTTAATGAATTAATGTTTATATAAATTAATGCATATGCTGTTCATTATATAGAGGTGCATTACTGTTGCTGCTGGTGCTGAGAATGTCAGTGAATATGAATCTTTCATATACTATCACAACAATCTACCAAAATGGCAGGAAACAATTAAAGTTAGTGAAACACTAACTCTACCTCACTCGCTCATGCTCTATACTGACTGTGGGCTAGCTCTAGCTCTGTTTATATATTTTTATTTTATTATTAAAAATTTTGTTATTTTTTATAGTTGGATATTCCATTTGAAGAAATATCTTCGTGTCATCTTAGGATTGGCTTCAGACACGTTGCAAAGAATGAAGGTAACACATATTCACCTTGTTACACTCAATATGAGTCTATTCACATTTAACATTTCAATAAATAAATTATAGTGATATTATCTGTATTATAATTGACCACATTCTTATTGTCATTGGTAGGTAAGGATAAAATGGAAAAAACGTTTGCATTTGCTCACATGAGAATAATGATGGGTGATGGCGCCATCATTCCTGATGGGACTCACGAACTCTTTGTATATAAAGTAATACTTTTAGTATCTTTATAATGTATGTGTAAGTGTATATTGTATGTACAATATAATGTCATCTTAATAATCCTTGATTAAATGTGTACTAGCTAGCTCCTCTTTCTCTCTCTCTCTCTCTCTCTCTGTCTCTCAGGCTGATAGCAAGAAGTGGCATGATCCTAAGTATTACTTAGCATTTGAGTCAGCTAAAGAGATTTGCATTCAAGGAGTGCTTCCAGCAAAGACATCAGCTCGTGGTAAAACAATATCTACAGTATCAGAAGGTAAGAAATGATCTAATGCTGTACAACAATTGATGCTTTCGTGTACATATACGTATAGGGCACTCGGCAGCAAGGAGTGAAAGAGAAACACTCTTTGTATCTACACTGACATGCTCAACCAAACTCACTCAAAACGGTTAGAATTGATTAAGAATTACTGTACGTGGTATTTTAATTTTTTGATGAATTTTTAAGGTTAAAAAAAACCTGGCCAAAGTCCCTTTGGCCAAGTTGCATCAAAAATGTCAAATAGGGAATTCTCCATTTTTATTGAATTTTCTGATACTATAGTGAACATGCTTCAGTTGTTAAAGTGGAGGTCTCAGCATCCCAGTGACCTCCCAACCATACTCTGCAAGCTTGTCTCAATCAAAGGAGAAGAAATAATAAAGTTTCTGCAAGACATCCTTGACAGCCTCTTTAACATACTGGGGAGTAATGAGCAGTACTATGGAGAACCTGTTTTTAATGCATTAGTAAGAGGTTTTTTATTTGATGGCATGTAATTATATTATTATTAAAAAAATTTATCTAAGGTTTCCATATTAAATCTACTCTCACATGAAAAGTACAGTCATTTTGTTCCAGTTTTAGATATATACATAACGAAACATTTCTCAGCTGGCCACGTGTACAGGTTAGTGTATAGCCCATCTCTCTTCTTTTTAAATGACTTAATATTAATATAGAACTCTCCTTTGGTATTTTAAAGAACAACTCAAGAATAGAGATATCACTAAACAAAGCAATTTAACATCACTAGCTGAGGTATGTCATGTACATAGTACTTATACATAATAACATTATACTTATAAAATATTCTCCCCCCCCTTATCAGGCCATTGGATTTCTGTTCCATTTCATTGTTCAGTCCTATACCATTATGTCCAAGTAAGTCGATTTAATTAATACCTGGGTGACCACACCCACCTGCCCCTCCCATTAATCAGCAGTCAAAAAGACCAGAGGTTTTATCAAGGACTTGATGATTGCTTCATATCAATGTATGAGCTAATGAGATTACCCGAGAGCAGATTCTGTGGCATACATGCTGTACAGGTAATACATGTACATGTACATGTACATGTACATGTACATGTACATGATGCACGTGTATACATGTGGGCTTACATGCATATGTACATGTACATTATGTATTTTAATAATATTTTTATTATTTCCAGGCTGCTCTTTTGTGTAACATACCCTCAATCCTTCCTCATTTGATTACAGTTTACGACCGGAGGCAAATAGCGTAAGACCACACCCATCATTTATTAACTAGCTCCGCCTTCCTTTTAGTGGTGTTCTTGCAAAACTGATAGATTCGTCTCAGAACGATCACATCAGTCTACCAGGAGAGAAAATGAACTTCATAATCTCAGTGCTTGATAGCGACATTAAACTATTGGACCCACAAGGCAAGAGGGAGAGAGCAAAATAGAAATATTTTAATTTACATTTTTGATGCTTTTTATTTCATTTTACAGAATCAAGGAGCTCTCTGTTGCCTACTATTATTGGTCATTTGATAAGTCACATGGAGAACAAGATGCCCGAAAACGGATACAGGTCTGACGATCGAGGTAACAGTGGCTGCCTTCTCTGCATATCTAAAGTACTTGAGCTGCTTCACTCTGGAGATAAACTAGTAAGAATATATGGCACTGGTAGTTATATTAGTAATAATTATATTGCTTGTTGTAGCACATCTCGTTTAGTGATACTGAGATAGCCACACCTCTATTACGTCCCCTCCTGTCACTCTGTGCTAAACTAAAGGACACTAACAACCCGCTGAGGGTGAGTCTATTGGTTGAGACTGGGGGTGCATGTTACTGTAAACTGATTCTCTTGTAGGTTCAAGCATACATTAATCTCATTGGTCTGCTTGATGTGATGAGTGACAGTCATTACTCCATTTATTTCGATTCTCTGAAGGCAGTGACTGAGAAGGACAAGAGGAACAGTGCTGGGAGAGAGTCCATGCTAAAGGTATTGGTAATTGGAGGAGAGAGAGAGAGAGAGAGGGAGAGGGAGAGAGTGCAAGAAGGTTAGAAAGGAGCAGGGTTTCCCATGAAGCATGCTCAGTGAGCTAAAGAGCATACAGTATGCTTTATGAACTGACAGCAGGACAATGAGGACATGGCTTTTGGAGAAACTTTGAAAATTCATTAAAAATTCAATTTTCATCGGAATCAGCTCAAACTTGCTACACAACATAAGAACATGTATGTATATCAGAAAAAATTATAAAAATGGAAAATTTTTTCCTAGTCAATTTTGATGAAATTTGGCCAACGCTCCTGTACTATAGTACAGGGACTTTAGCTCGATTTTGGAGCAACTTTAAAAATTCATAAAAAATTGAATTTTATCGGAATCATCTCAAACTTGCTACATAGCATAAGAACATGTATATGTATCAGAAAAAATTATAAAAATGGAAAATTCTCTCCTAGTCAATTTTGATGAAATTTGGCCAACGCCCCTGTACTATAGTACAGGGTCTTTGACCCGATTTTGGAGCAACTTTAAAAATTCATTAAAAAATTCAATTTTCATCGGAATCAGCTCAAACTTGCTACACAACATAGGAACATGTATATGTATCAGAAAAAAATTATAAAAATGGAAAATTCTCTCCTAGTCAATTTTGACGAAATTCAGCCAAAGTCCCAGTACATGCACTATAATGTGTAGTATAGGACATTATTGACATGAGCCTGAGCAGTATGCCAAAATCCTTTGAAGGGAGAGAATGAACATTGATTTGTTGTGTTTAGGAGTTCATAACAAGTCTGCTGGAGGTCTTAGAGACTCTGTTTGCTGGCCCAGTCTGCTCTCCTAAATGGGTGTACTTGCTACTGGAACAAAACATGTGAATAATAATAAATAATAATAACAATAATAATAATGATGATGATGATGATAATGCTAATAATAATAATAATTATTATTATTATTATTGTTATTATTATATTGACCTGACTTCTTCTTTATATTTCTCTCTCATTTTTTCCAGTATACTAATGAGAGTAGTTAAGAATATATCTACTACAATGTTCTCGTCTTTCTTTGATGATCGAGACTTTAACCCACAGGTATGTTGTGCATGTACAAATTATCACAACAGAATTAGTTACATTAATACATGTACTGTACATGTACCACAACATAATTAGATGTAAAATACAAATACAGGTACACGTATAGCATGTTTGTAGCAGGTACCAGCAAAGTTAGTCAATTTTATTTCATTTTAGATCTGGGATATATTCTTTGGTACGTGTAAGTCCTTCTCGATACAAAGGTGTCTGCAGTTGGAGGCTTATTCGGACCTGTTGAGTGCTAAGCTTCTCAGACAGTAGGTTCCCATTTCTCTTCTCCATATTATATTTTTAATTTTGGTTTATTCATTTATTTATTTTTAATCTTAGGTTTGGTGATGTTCGTGTTAAGATGGCTAAGCAAATGGCTGCTATGTGGGAATTCCTGCAAGAAAAGAAATCAAACTTCATTCCAAACTTTATAGGAATATTCCTTGAAGTATCACTGCTCAAAGAGAAAGGTATTGATTTTGATATTGAACTTGATTTTGATATTGATCTTGATTTTTGATTTTTTGATCAGACTTGCGTGAAGTGATGATACCACTCATATTCGACATATTGAAATTCGAACAAAAGTCAAACAGAAACTTTAAAAGAGTAAGTGAATTAATGTGTAAAAACATGCAACAAAAACTACATCATTTACACATGTAAAGTAAATATAAAGTATACAAGTCAAAATTATTATTTTTTCAGATTGAAACTGAGATATTTGAGAAGATGGATTTCCTTGTTAGTAAAGGATATGGAGATGAAGCATATAGAGACCTCTTCCATGACTGGTACTATATGACACAGCATCAGCCATTACCATATCATCTTAATAATATCTTCTGTAGCATGATTTTACTTTGTAAAGATACTCATGAGCTGAAGGAGTCTGGTGAAGCATTCGTCAATACTGTTAGCAGATTGATTGGACTGATACTGGACTATAGGAGAGTGGAGGGGGACAGCAGTCAGAGTGGACAAAGAATGGGCTGCATACTGAACCTACTGGTAACAGAGAGAGGGGGGAGAGGGGGGAGAAGAGATTTGTAGTACAACTACTTATATATTTTTTGAATTAAAATACAAGTAATTAAGTCCTCATATTACCTTTGTGTAGAATTTCTACAAAGAAATAGACAGAGAGGAAATATACGTGAGGTATCCATGATCTACTTAATCCGATACATGTACTCATGTTTCCTCTCTCTCTCTCTCTTCCTTCTCTTGTTCCTCAACAGATACATATACAAGTTAGCTGGACTTCATGAAAGTGATGGGAATTTCGCTGAAGCAGGTCTGACACTGCTGCTACATGCAAAGACACTAGAGGTAAGAGAGAGAGAGAGAGTGAGGTTGAATTGGTTCTCATTCTAGTGGTCATTGGAATTTGAGCCAGCTGTTGAAGGCAAGTATCCAGTACACACAGCAAGAGAGAGAAAGGAGATATTGTTTTCAGAATCAATCAGACTATTGGACCAGGGAAAAGTAAGAGTGTCTCTAATCTGTGATAATATTTCCTTTCACCCTCTTCCTCCCCTCTCTCTCCCTCTCTCTTTCCTACCTCTCTCTCTCTCCATCTCTCTCCCCCCCTCTCTCCTCTCTCTCTCTCCAGGCATGGGAGTATGGAATACCATTATGTAAAGAGTTGGCTACAGTATATGAGACTCAGCAATTCAAATATGACAAGCTATCACAAATACTAGTATGTGCATTGTGCAACAATGTATCTACCAGTACACATGTATTTATGTGTAGTATATTTTGATAAGTACCTTGCACTTTGCTCTCTCTCTCTCTCTCTCTCTCTAATTCACACTTTACTAATTTGCACTCTAAACCACTTTACACTTCACACTAATTGCTAATGATACTTTTATTTTTTTTATTTCTTGTAGAGAACTCAAGCTGATTTCTTTCACAAGATCATCAATGAGCTGAGAGTTGAAAATGAGTACTTTGTTGTTGGTTATTTTGGTAGAGGATTCCCTCTATTCCTAAGAGTAAGAACCGGCTACATTATAACCCCCTACCTTCTCTTTCTCTCAGAATAAGATATTCATTCACAGAGGCCAGCCTTATGAGAGGCTCCAGAACTTCATAAAGAAGCTTCAAGATGAGTTCGTGACAGCACAGGTAAGTATATTTGTTACTTTTACAAGCATTTACTCTACATCCATTAGGTATACATGAAGCCTGAGCCGCCTAGTGATGACATAAAGAACTCTAATGGAATGCGTATCCTAAATCATTTATAATACAATATTAATATTAGTTATATGGCACATGTTGTCATTGTGCTGGAAAAACTGAGTATACACATCTACTTGTAAAGTATTGTTAATATTTTCTTAACTTGACTCTTGCTCAGATCTGCAAGTCCGTAAGGTTCTTCCCATTCCTGACGAGAGGGAGGAGTTCAATGGACGACAGATACCTGACAAGATTGCAGAGTTAGTTAACGTCTTATTTTCAATATTATTAAGCAAAGACACGCTCTCTCTACTAGTTACTACAAGACTAATGACGTGTGCAAGTTTCGTTTCGACCGACCGTTTCATAAAGGAAAGAAGGACCCAGAGTGTGAATTTGCTGTGAGTTGGAGAGAAAGGGAGAGAATAATAAAGAGAAATTATGAGAGAGAGAGGAGGGAGGGAAGGAGGACAAGGACACTAGTCAACGTATTCATTGATTTGAACTGTATTTCTCTTCTCATTAGACTCTGTGGTTAGAAAGAACATATTACAAGACTGCCAGCAGTTTCCCTGGTGTCATTAACTCTTTTGAAGTGTGTGAGATGAAAACGGTAAGAAGCAAAGAAGTGGATAAGGAATGAGAGAACATAGGCAGGATGGAGTACAAACTGAAAGATACAATATGCTAACATTTTCATTATATTTGATGCATCCAGTGCGATTAACTTTGAACTTGTACCTAGACTATAGCTAAAAGAGATCAGAGAGAGAGAGAGAGAGTCCACTACATGTATTTATTGAACTTTGTTTATCCCCATAGGATGAGCTAAACCCATTAGCTATAGCTAGAGAGACTGTAAGATCAAAAGTCCAAGAGATACAGAAGATGACTACAGAGCTATCATCAAACTCTCAAATGAGTATCAATCCATTAAGTATGCTACTGAAAGGTGTTATCGACGCAGCTGTCATGGGAGGGATCTCAAACTATGACAAGGTAATGGGATTGCATCTCATTGTATATATATGTATTTACACATTTCAATTCTTTGATTTTTTCTCTCTCTTTTAGATTTTCTTTCAACCGAAATATATTCAAGACCATCCAGAAGAGAAAGAGGGAGTTGAAGAACTTCGCTCTCTTATAGTAGAGCAGGTGAGTATAGGCATCTGATATCCTGGCCATTTTAATGTCCAGTTATCGCCATTTAAAAAATGAGCCAATTTTTAAAAACTTCCCTGTTATAGCCCATGCTTTTTTCCGAAAAATGGCTCCGAAATCACCCCCCCCCATTTTTATTACATTTTCTGATAGATATTGATGTTCTTATGCTGTGTAGAAAGTTTGAGCTGATTCAGACTAAAATTTTTCAAGTTATGACCATTTTTTAAAATGAGCCAATTTCGGAAAGTTACCCTGTACTATAGCCCATGCTTTTTTCTGAAAAATGGCTCCGAAATCACTCCCAATTTTTATTACATTTTCTGATACATATTGATGTCCTTATGTTATGTAGAAAGTTTGAGCTAATTCCGACTAAAATTTTTAAAGTTATGACCATTTTTTAAAATGAGCCAATTTCGGAAAGTTACCTTGTACTTTAGCCCATGCTTTTTTCCAAAAAATGGCTCCAAAATCACCCCCCATTTTTATTACATTTTCTGATACATATTGATGTCCTTATGCTGTGTAGAAAGTTTGAGCTGATTCCGACTAAAATTTTTCAAGTTATGACCATTTTTAAGAATGATCCAATTTTGAAAAATTACCCTGTACTATAGCCCATGCTTTTTTCCGAAAAATGGCTCCGAAATCACTCCCAATTTTTATTACATTTTCTGATACATATTGATGTGCATTCTATATATTATTAGGTTGAAGTACTGAAGCAGGCGTTAGGGCTTCACGGCCACAGGGTGTCTACTGACCTGAAGGCTTTTCATCTAGACCTTGAGATTAGATTTGAAACCTTCCAAGACATTGTATTCCCCGAAAGAAGAAAGGTAAGAGAGAGAGAGAGAGAAAGGTATGAGATATTGAAGGACATTAAAAAGTTAAGTGTATGCATTTGTATTGTATAATACACGTGAGGTATTGAAGTGCATGTACATGTACACTGAAAAGTTAAGTGTATAAAATAATACATAGTGTATGTATATGTACCTATACATGTACACGTATGTGTACTCAATTGACTATAAATTGTATGTGTATTCTTCATAGACTCCTACTATAGCTCGTAGAGGTACCACTATCACAAGTAGCAGACCATTACCGCCCACTCCTCCTGATGAATCACCACAATTATCACAAACAAAGTAAAGCATTAGTAGCACTGATATAGATAATAATAATTATACTTATTAATTTAATTACTGATTGTATTTTAATGATTCTGTTACATTAGGGTGCATGACTTGTGTCTATAATTATATTAACGGTTGCATTATGCAATATTATATTATCATACACATGGGTAATTCCGCTAGCTCTGTTACACATAAATGGATTTTCACAGAAATGATGCTCTTTCTTCGCTATTTTGATAAGATTAAAACCAGCCATGGCTGCAAATATAATAACAGGAAATAGTGGACGTACATGAAAGATAGGAAGGACACTTTGACCTGTGTAACGAGTCGTGCTTTAATTATGTAACTTACTTTTAAGAGTTACTTTTAAGACTAATGGATCACGTAATAGATATCAGGAACTCTAGCACAGCAAAAATAGGAAATTATCTTAGCCTCTAGAATTACAGTGTTTGTGCATTCTTTCAACAATTAAGTTCACGACCCGTATTGTCTGCTACGTGTGCTAGTGTGTCTGTGTAGCACGTATGATTTAATATCGTCTAGCCCGTGTGAGCATTGCGTTAACTTTGTGTTGGTATTTGTAGCAGCATTGCGTTAACAAAGTGTTAGTATTGCATCATTTTTGTAAGCCAGCCAGGGTTCATGTAACTGAATGGGAAATTGGAGAAGAATCATTTTACATATTTTAATGAAAATTAAATTTCGTGTTTGATTTTTCTTTTTCTCTCTCTCTCTCATAGGACTCCTCACCGTAGACTGACAGGTGGTAATCCAAACAGGGTGTCACAGTTAGTCGAAAACAACACGCCAAACCCCAAAGTAAGAAGGAGCAATACCACCAAGGGCCCTCGCTCCTCCATCCTAAGCACAGCCTCTTTCTCCTCTCCTGCATCCTCCCCAGATAGACAGAGCATCATTGTAGAACCTCCCGCTACTAACAGTTCCTCGAGCATAGGCTCATCACAGAGAGACTCTGGAGTCACTATTGAGGACACAGAGATAGAGGAAGACCGGGGTACCTACGAGGTAGTGGATTTCGAGACTCAGCGACACTACCAGGACAAACTCCAGCAATATAACTCAACTCCAAGCAACACACCGCCCTCTTACCCTTTGACAGGTAACCCTCACCCTCTGGCCCCCACTCCCTCCGGTAGCTCGGCCCCACCCCCTAATTACCCCGCCCCTAAACCAGAGGTGACTTCACATGGATATGCACTCATAGATCCATTGGATGATGATGATGAGTATGATTATGAGAAGGTAAATATCGGGACTAGGAGGATTGATGCTAGGTCTGGTAGTATTCGTAATCCTGATTTTGCTTCTCCTAATATTCTCCGTGGCTTACCGCCAAAGTCACGCTCTCGCTCCCGTTCTCCTCCTCAAAATGTTGGAAGAGGTTCTGGCAGTAGGAGCGGTACTAATCCTTCTCCTCTCTCTACCTCTCCCAATGAGGGCCGCATGGGAGTGCTGGACTACCCAAGCCGCCCGACCAACAAGTCCCCAAGTCCTGGCAGCCATTCCTCTGGTGGAGGGGAACCTGTTCTTGAAGACCTCCAGTCCGTGAGGGAGAGACTAAGGAGGCAGGCACAGGATTCAGTGGATTACGAGTGTGGACTAACCAATAAACATCCTACTACCATCCAGCACCAAACCAGTGGTCACGTACCAAGCGCTCAACATGTTCCAAATAATGCCCATCACACTAGGAGCAACATGTCGTCTGTCTCCTCGTCTAGAAATGAACTGACAATGTCGGGTGGGCCCATTTCTTCCACTCCTCAGTCCTCTTATAGTCAAAGTGGAGGAGGCGCTAGTTTTAGTACTTATGATCATCTTGATGTCGTTATGGGTGGGGCCAATGATGACCTGGAGGTTGCTGGTATATACAGCTATGCTGAAGAGCCACCAGTTGTATTTGAAAGGGAGACATCAATATCACCTACTAAACAAATGGTAAGGTAGCATTAGGCTCAACACCTTCATAGTACAAAGATGTGAATTGGTTCTGTCCATGTGTACATGTACATGTACCTTTTAATCTTAGGCAAACGTTTTTTAGAAAATTAGTGTATGTATTGTTTTTAGATGCTCTTCACACTTTGATGAGTACTGGTTTACTTTTATCACAAAGGCATCATTGTAATTTAATAAAACTTGGGGGTTATTCTAGAGCCAATTTTTACTGCAAAAACATAATTGTACATATAGTTCTAGTCCTTCATTACATGCATACTGTAGTCAAAACAGTTTGGTACATTTTCCCTAGAATACACACACAGTGTAGTGGCTATCATGTGATTGTGGTCAGTGAGTCAGTATAAATGATGTACAATACTTATCACTGTCTCTCTAACAATCCTTTGATCATGTTTACTTAAGATACAGCCATTGAGTATGTTATAGTATTCTGCCCTTGTTGACATCACTAACTGGTCCCACTATCAGTATAATTGCTAGTCCATGTAGTAATATGACTAGTTTTTCCCCCAAAAATCTTCTCTTATTTTCCACGTTCATTCTCTTACTGCCCCTCTTTTATTCATCATAGTCACCTCCTAAACCTCGTCCATATTCACCGAGAAAGTCCCCAACGCCTCCGGACACTGCTCCTGCTCCTCCAGTCCCAAGGAAGAAATCATTCAAGACCCCCGACTACACGATGACCCCTATCAGTAAAAGTAAGGAGTGTGGGGCCGGGTCAGCTGGTCTGCCCTCTATACCTCCTAAGGCTCCTGTTCCAAGACCAAGGAGCCAAACAATGGCTGCTGACAGAAAGTCTCAGAACTATTGTATGTCACTGATAAATAGACCTACGTGTACATTTACATTACATACAATGTCTTGTTGCATGTAATGTATGTGTAATGTAGTAGTTGGCTAATCTTACATTGTGTCTGATATTAGTTTCACACACAGACACACAGTTGTAGCCTCAAGGGCTTAAAGTACAACGTGAAAGAGCTGGCTTCAGTTTTAATTCAGATTTTAGATTAAAATTCCTTTACTTTGTTGTGGGCATTATTTTACAACATTGTTTTACCTGAGTACGGATACTCTTGGCATTTGACTTGCATTTGCTGTGGGTAATCACTGCCATATCGGTTGGCTGTTATTTTTTCAAAAGAAAAATGTTATTGGAGAGTTGATGACTTCTTAAAGCTACTATATTGAATTGTTTTGGCATGGTAAATGTAAAAATAAACTTGACCGTTATTTATTGATTTTTAACTATGTTAGTTTATTCATGCCCTCCTTTTTTTTCTTTCCAAGCAGCAGCAGCTGGGGTACCTGTACCAAATCCTATGCCACCGAACCCAACTCCTCGTAAACCATCTTATCCGATCCCATCTGCTGATACGGATTTGACTTCTTCTTCATCTTTTCCCTCCTCCTCCTCTTCTGGTCTCTTCTCTCCTCCTCCAAGACCGCCCAAGCCTACAAATAAAGATGGTGCCAGTGATCCAGCCCTTCCTCCTGCTTTGCCTCCTAAAATGAAACAGGAGGCACCTGCCTTGCCTCCTAAACCTTCGAAAAGTGAGTATTGGAAGAGAAAGAGGAGATCATTTCATGTATTTGGCTATTTTTATTGTTTTTAGTCGTATGGTAAAGCAAACCCACATTAAGAAAATCATTTATGAATTTTTAAAAAGCGAAAATATTGAATAATATTTGGGAAGAAACCAGCTGCCTTTATTGGTCAGCACTAATTATAAATTCATTTTTAGCACATTTCAAATAAGGTGCTACCTATTTATCATATTTAAAAGCAATCAAGTGTGTGGGTGTATGGTGTTGTAGTAGGATTGTCTAGTACACACATACCTAGCTAGTTGGAGTATGTGTGTCCACAGTATGTGTGTTCAAGTGCATTTTACTTGCTACTCCTCTCTCTCTCAGACTATCCTATAGTGACCCCAAGAACAAAACCACCTCCTCCTACACCGAAATAAGGATAAGAGTTGTTTGAATGAACTGTTTCTTTCTAGCACACATTTTCTCCATGTCTTTGCTTTTTTCTCTTTCTCTCTCTCTTGCTCTGTATTTTCTTTCTATTATAATAAATGAATAACGAATGTTTATTATGATTTTATGTTTAAATTTTTCCTTTTTCGTGAGTCTGTCTGTATTACTGTATTGCTTTAGGTATTATAATAATTATTATTTTTAACTATTACACAGCAAAAACTAGCAAACAGGATCAAACAGATTTTTATCACCTTTTGCGTGGGCGAGATTTCATATATAAACCATCTCCCGGCAAAATCTGCGCAGATTCATTAAGGACACAAAGATGGAGAACAGGTCACTGACATTCTCTACAACAAACGGTCACTCTTCTCCTCCGAACGAGGGACGACCATTCTCTTATGGCCTGGCCAGGAGCACATCGACCAGTACTAGTGGAAAATATCCTCCGCCAGTAATGCGCCGGGCCACTACCTCAGAGGTTGGCGTTACGAGCCATGGATATCATGTTCCCACGTCTCCTATCTCCCGGACTCCTCCAGGCAGCACTGGGTCTACCAATCCTTCCGATGGCTCTCCTGTATCTCGCGGTAGTCACTGTGGAAGCTTCAAACAGAGCGACTCTGGCTTCCTTGATAATGCCGTCCCTCCGTCTCTCTCTGCCAACACGAGTTCATTCGTTAGCTCACTGGCAAACGCTGGCTCCGAGTGTCCCAAGCATTCCCAGGAAGCACTCAAGTATTATTGTCAGCTTCACGATGAGCTCGTCTGTGCTGACTGCCTTGCAATGGAGCCTAGGCATCAGGGCCACACTCACACCAGGGCTGAGGATTTGGCTAGCTCCTATCGCTCCAGCCTCCTCTCCCAGCTACAGCCTTTGCAGGAAATGTCCATCGAAGCCTCTGCAGCTCTTAAGAGCATGGCAGCGAGAAGAAAAGAAATAAGTGAGAACGAGGAGACTGTCAAAGAGTCCATCAAGATGACTGTCCTTCAGCTACACAGGCAGCTGGACTCGAGGGAAAGAGAACTCATTGAAGAGGCAGAGAAGATAAGCCAACAGAAGCTACAGCATCATGATGCACACCAGGACCACTTGCAACGACTCACCACCGAAATGCAACAGGTAGTTGATTCCGTGAGCGTAGCAGCTAACGATAACACAAACATCATCCTCTGCCACCACAAGCAGCTCAGTGAGTGGGTATTGGAAAGTACTAGAAAATACCAGTCCCTCCCAAAGGAGGTATTCACTCCCCTCCAGGGGCCCAATATTAGCTTTGTCCCCGATGCTGGCGTATTGGAAATGTGTCAAACGATCGGCTCTGTCACCGAGAGACAAGCCGACCCTCAAAGATGCTACATAGATGAGTCCAGCATTAAGAACCTGACGGTGAATCAGGACTGCGTACTACGACTGGTGATACACGATAAAGATGGGAAGCCTTATACCACCCATGTGAAAGGAATCAAGGCAGAGGCTGTATCAACTTCCACTGGATCACAGCTAGACGTAAGCATAGAGCAAGATCAAACAAAGAAGCACCAGTACAATATAAGTATGGTCCCTCAGGAAGCTGGCACGTACGTTGTGAAGGTCAAAATCAGCAATACCCTTATCCAGAACTCGCCAATAACACTAAATGTGGGCTCTGTAGTTCATGGGACTTTAGTTGGAGATATTAAAGGAGTTCTTCAACCTTATGGTATCACTGTTAGCCCAAGTGACGAGATTGTCGTCGTAGAGAATGGAAAGGATTGCGTGAGTCTGTATCGCTCTGACGGGAAACTTTTAAAGAGCTACAGTGGCAAAGGAAAGTTAAAGTTTAATCGTCCCCGCGGGATCACCATAACTCCATCAAACATGCTCCTAGTCACTGACGATGAAGGAATCAAGCAATGCACTCTTGAAGGAAAACACATGACAGCATTCGGTAAGATTGGTAGCGGTCCACTTGAATTCAGTTTCCCTTGTGGACTGGGAGTCAGTAACGATGGAAAGATCTATATATGTGACACATTCAATCACCGCATTCAAGTTCTTAATATAGACCTCACTTTTCACCATTATCTTGGCATTGAGGGCGCTCCACCAGCAAAGCTTGTGCAACCGTACGACATTGCTTTTGACAGCAGTGGGAAGATCTTTGTCGCGGATTACAGTGACCACAGCGTCAAGATGTTCACACCTCAAGGTGGGTTTATCGGGCAAATAACAAGCAAAGGAGAAAACGAAGTACTGAAAAACCCAGTTTCTGTCCACGTCAACAAGAATGACCATGTTTTTGTCGGGGAGGAGAAAAACTCTGGTCTCTCTGTGTACGATTCCAGTGGGAAGTATCTGACCATGATACCAGTTCGATCTTCAGGAGCGTACGGTATATCCAGTGACAGCGAAGGCTGTGTGTATATTAGTGACAGGGCCAACAGAAGAGTTCAAATATTTAAGTAACTATAAACACTTTTGGAATTATTCTATTATTAAATTATTTTATTATTTTTATTATTAATTGTTTATTATTATTTTTCAACAGTTTGAGTGCCACCTACATGTATGTGTGTTCTTCTCCCTCTCTCTTCCTTCTCTCTACCACCTCTCTCTCTCACAATGAGTGTAGTATTTCTTCCATATTAAGCTATTCATATAAAAATCATGTCATTCCTGACCAGACAGCGGCATGCAGAGACACCATTCGTTGTAATAACATTATGACACTACTCCACAACTCTCCAGTCAGGCATATTATACTAGCTAGCCAGTCATCTGGATCATGCCTGTCTCTTTATTAAACACAGTGACTAGCATGCCTCGCATGCCAGCAGTAATAGTACTAGGCAGGAAATTAGAAACTAGCTGTCATGCAAGCACAAATCAAAATGTTTCCTTGAAAAAAAACCCTGCTTGTTTGCCAGGTCTGTTACACCTAACAAGGCGTCAAAAACTAATCTTAAACTTGAGCAGATCATGTCAAATTTAAATTTCAAAATACTTTAGTTTAAATATTTTCATCGTAAGGAATTACAATTTTCTTGCTGGGATTAATAGTCTATAAAGGGCACAGGAAGTGTATCAGTGATGGAATTCGAACACTATTTTTTATAAAAATGAGTAGCATTGTCACGGTATCCCCCCCCCAGTATGATGATGGTGCAAGGGCAGTGCAGGCCTAATTGCATAACTAGTGATAGTTAGAGTACGTCAGACTGGCTACTACTTGACACTTGATCATAATCACGGGTACACCACCTGTCCCCATATCATCTGTTAGTTTTAAATGATACTGATAAATGATATTTAAACTCAAGACAGTATATATTGTAGCACACGTACCACACACAACAATCACAGTAGCAATAGCATAATGTGTGCATAACTGTAACTGTTAGTAGGATGATGGGGAGAGATGTACTTGTACACAAAAACACAGCAAAATTAGGAATGATAGTTAACTGACAAATTGGATACACTCACGACATGAACACATGTAAACAACCAAACACTAATGGCCTGATACATAAATGAATGCAGTCATAATAATACTAGCAATAAATGAGAGATTAAATGAAAGTTGTGATTTCTCAGTCAATTAATTCATTGATCCTTTTTTGTTTCTTTGGAGGCAGGAGGTTCTTCAATGAGAGGAGGAGGAGGAGGCAATTGAGGAATAGCAAAGCCGTCCTTTGGCTCCAATATCCACACAAACTGTATTGAATCGTCTTTATACACCTCAATACACGGACCACAGGAATCTTCCAATTTATAATCCTTAGAGAGGGAGGAATGGGATAAAGAAAGCAGAGGAGAGACAAAAGAGAAAAATATGATGCATATCCTGTAATCAACGAATGATCTTACAACAATATTACATAGTCTATGTTACACTGCCAACCTTATACCATTATACATAGTGTATATACATAGAAAGTATAAATATATGGTGGAGTGATCATTAGCTATAGTGAGTGACATTAGGTTGTTTCACAACAACTATCACAAGGGATTGGCTTGTCAGTACACATTGGGTGATATGGTAACCTTTGGACTTGCACTCAATCACAGCAACCTATTGTCACTATAAACCCAACCATTGTCACTATAAACCCAACCATTGTCACTATAAACCCAACCTTAAGTAACAAATCACACATTTATGAGTCTACAGTGCTGGCAACCATTGTTTATAATGCATTATCTTCCATTGATGACAATATGATATGATATTAATGCATTATTTACTAACACACACACACAAGTGCACACACTCGGTAAATTAAGAAGGAATTTCTACACTTTGTTATAAGAGACTGGTGGCAAAAAATAAAAATTGTAATGAGCCTTACCCAGTAACAGTAACACTCTCTCTATGTAAAAATAGCCTAGATTGTATAAATGGTTCAGTTAGTGAGTAGTGAGTAAAGAGTATATTGATTAAGTTTCAATATATATAGTACAGTTGAAGCTTCCACTTAAAGTACATTGTGCAAGAGTGTGTCACTCATAATGTATCATGTAATTGATTGGATAAACAGGATAATTACTTCAAATGAGGGGAAATACATGTACTTCAAATGAACTACATTGTACACGAATGTGAAGCTCTGTATAATTGCATATAGCAAGCAACAACAAGCAGAGAAACAGTATTCTGTATCCCTTATAAGAATATGCATGACTTAATCACTCAAGATACACATACAACTACAAGATGCAGTGGATATCCAGTACAATCCAAGTATAAATTATAAAAATAGGAGGCGTAGACACACATACACGTGTGTGTATTTTAGACTATCTTGTAGACTAACCAACTTTCAATTCGTCTCATTACATACACAAAAAGGGACTGGCATTAACAACACAGACTATTGCTAATCGTGTCATGACAACCACAACAGACCAATAACGAACAGTCGCCCCTCCCTTTCTATTTGTAATAAACAATTAAATAATAATGTAATAATAATGGGGATAATAATAATAAAATTAATGCCTACCTTGATATATTCCACAAGAGATGGATAGACTCTTGAGACTGCAATCATTATTGAGGTTGATGTTCTGTAGGGGAACTCAGTGATGAGGGCTTTAGTGCAGTTGGGGAAGGTTCCAATCTTATAGCCCTCGTCCATCAATCGGCTCTCAAGGGACGGGCTGGGCTCTGGGAGAAGAGGACAGCATACAGCAGCACGTAACTGATCATGATCCTTTTTAGCTACCTTTAGGGACGAGGGAAAGAGAGAGAGGGGGGAAGAGAGAGAGAGAGAGAGAGAGAGAGGGGAAGAGAGAGAGGGAGAGGGAGAGAGAGGGAGAGGGAGAGAGAGGGAGAGGGAGAGAGAGAGAGAGAGGGGGGAAGAGAGAGAGGGGGGAAGAGAGAGAGGGAGAGGGAGAGAGAGAGGGGGGGAAGAGAAAGAGGGAGAGAGAGGGGAAGAGAGAGAGAGAGGAAGAGAAAGCGAGTGATTAAAATACGATAGACATGCACGCAAACAAAACAAAATACCAGACACACAAGGGGGTGAGAGTCTAACTAGACCAATTAGAAAGCTATGTACATGTAGGTACGAACATACTTCAGCAATAACAGGACTAATGTCCTCTTGCAAAATACAAAGCTTATTATTATTGCCAAAAAAACAAACCACGAAAGATATAACAAACTTCCTTGGATAAACAAATCCATGCTAACACGATATAAACAAGTTACACAAGAAACTCATGAGTGTAACAGTATATTTTGTTATTGTCTAAATAGTTCCCCAAATATATCATCACACGCAAATTTTTTCCGTTATCACTATGAGTTTAATACTTGCACCCGAAACCTGATAGTCTAATGAAATATTTCATCACATGATAATTCATCCTGTATTATTTTACATGAGTATTCATGAAATTGAGAATATACAATAACAATATTCATTTTAATGAACATTAGGTAAAAATTTTAGGCCATATTAGTACAGGTCAAAAATTAAAAAGGTGAAAATTCTCCATTTTATATGTTTTTCTGATACATATACATGTTCTTATGCTGTGTATCAAGTTTGAGCTGATTCCAATAATAATTGGATTTTTTTACAAATTTTTAAAGTTACTCAAAAATCGGGCCAAAGTCCCTGTGCTATTAGTAACGCGGTAGCGTTACTAAGTAGGATTCACCCCCAAACAAAATGGCTGCCACGACTTTTGCAGCCTTGCTAAAGCGGGAAAACGAGCTCCTATGCTTACCAGACTTCTTAGAGGACCTTATCTTGACCAGAGGACTCCATTGGTACCACTAGCGTGGCTCTAGACCTTGTCTAAGAGAAAATCCAAAAATCGGCGAACCGGCCGTTTTGTTCAGCCACCTTTTTTCATCTTCATCATCATCATCATCATCAAGTCAGAAGTCCTGTCAATCCAGTTGTCGGTGTGTATCTCAGTATTGGTTGGTGCTACAAGGATAATTCTTACACCAATCTACTCCAACAGTCTATGCGCAGGTCCATGTCCCATCAGATCATTCTTCAAGTGAGGAAAAAGTGATACTGTGACTGCTGGATCGAGCCATCTTAGCTGCATGCCGCCATTTTGTTAATTAATGAAGCTTGCCATGTGCTCCAAAATTTGGGTGTGGTCGCGCATGCTCAGATCTGCAGCTCTCGAAGAAGCAAGTTATTTTACCAAGCTATGCTTGGAATCAACTTACTGCAATACTTTAGTGGAGGTTTCCAGCTAAAAGAAGGTATTGATTTTACATGTTACTGTTTTATCAAGTGTGTTATTTTATTTTATTAAAAAAACAAACAATTAATTAATGTTATGACTTATGATATGCAATGATAATTATGAACTTGACAACAGCCTGGAAGAACAGGAATAGCAGGGAAGATGGACACTCTTAGCTCACAGGTTCTTCAAGGACTTGTGTCAAGACTAATTCCTTCAGCATGTCTATTGATGCTGTCTCTCATAA